GCGACTTGTTAATGGAAGTGGTTTTGACGTAGGGTCAAGAGACAAAGAAGCTTGCCAAGCCAAAATCTGCAATTTTTAAGATGCCGCTGTTATCAATTAAAAGGTTGGACCCCTTGATATCCCGATGTAGAATACCCCGTGTATGACAATGATCAAGGCCACGAAGTAGTTGTTGCATGTAACATTTAATCTGTAACACAAAAGTTTATGAATTTATTATTCAAAATGCCATGCGGCACTTCAGTATTAATCCAGAGAAAGTGAGAGAAGGTTAGCAAGGAAGAGAGTTGACATTTCTATATAGAAAAAGAATTATTCCAGGGGGGAAAAATTATACTTGCCGCATACCTGGGACTCTGTGAACTTCATTCCAGGAAAAGAAGCGAGGCCAGCAAGATCATGTTCCATGTATTCAAATACAAGGTACAAACTGCAGGACATTCTTGATGTTACCAAGCCTTCTAACTTTATTACATTTGGATGATCAAGTCTGCGCAAAATGTGGATCTCCCTTGCCATAAACCGTACACTTTCAGGCTCTAAGTTATCAAATCGAACTTTTTTCAATGCAACAATCTTTCCATTGTCCAAATCACGGGCCCTGTAAACATTGCTGTAGGTTCCTTGGCCAATCTGTAAAAGCAAGATTGTATCATATAATTGAACGACTCATAGAGATGGTCAGCTAGAGTTTCCAAAAATACCTGTATACATTAGCAGAAAGAGAAATTGTATCATATAATTGAACGACTCATAGAGATGGTCAGCTAGAGTTTCCAAAAAATACTTGTATACAGTAGCAGAAAGAGAAATTGTGCATGTGCTGCTTCCTAACTCAAAAAAAAATCGAACAAAGAGGATAAGAGTAGCACACTATATTGTTTTACCCCTAGTGCAAACCAAGATCCCACATTTCCTTCCGAAGAAATATCTGATTCAATGGAAAGAATCCATATGCACTTACAAACCTTCAAGTTTACGATTAAACTCATTTCTAGCATAACCATAGAGCACAGATACATGGCGTGCACAGATACTAGCATTTTCATGTCCTGAACTCCCAAGAAAGTTATACTAAAGATCTAACAAAGTCTTCAACCTTAACTATGAGGAACGACCAGAAAAATTCGTATATCCTATGGTCATAAAATCAGTAAATCAGAATACAATGCATTTCATATATCCTACCATCAGATAATAACCTTTCAATAAATGACTCAACAGCACCCTCCATCTAAACAAATGCTTGAAATTTTCTTCCAAACATTATGCCTGCAATAACAAGTTATCTACAATATCCACATTATAGATTTCAGAGCATGGTGCCAAAATCATTATAGCAAAACATAGTGCCAAAATCAATATAGCAAAGCATAGTGCCAATATCATTGCTATCTTCTAGATCTGTAATTATGTTTTCTTACAATGGGGCCAATTCAAGCTGCAACACACTTCAGTATACTACTCATAAGAGTACAAGGAAATGTCCTAGTAAAGGAACCTTACAATTTAGTATCAAACATTATGCCACAACATTGTAGACATCAAAGCATAGTGCCAAATTCATTGCTCAACTTGTAGTAATGCCACATGCAATTTCAGTACAATAACAAAAAGAGTACAAGGAGCTTACTTTATCAAGCTTCTCGAAGGAATCAGCCCGTCTCGGGACCCAACCCCT